TCTCATCTCCCAAATGGTTTTCAGCCATGTTTGTTTGACTGCCCTCCTCTTATGCTTTAATTCTTAGGAGCAATTAGGTTTTTAATTAAAGCTTTCACAGAAAACAAACCAAAAAGCCTCAAAACACAACCACACACTCCTGCATCATTTTTATGCGATGCATTTAATGTACATAAACAATACAAAATTATTCCCAATTCCTATTACACTCTGGAATATTTCTAATACCACTCGTGGTGACTTTGCTCCTTGTCATAGTTCTTGTATTTAATGTCTTTTTATAAAAAACTTATATTTGGATCCATTAAAAAATAATTATCTATGGGTGGGGTTTTTTCTGTTTAGGGAAACACTAACTATTTTTAAACAACTTCTGTGGAAAAGCTTGAGCACTCACTATATTTTAAATATTTGAATTGTGCATTAAATACTGGTGCAAGTCTGCAGCCAGCCAAATGTAAACACCTTACCTGTTCATGTCTCATCAGTTCTATCATTTCCATAACGCTGATGAAGTGGTAACACCGATCTGAGTGATCCACCATAGACGTAGGAAAAGGACGATTCTGCCAAATTCTCCATTCAGACAAGGAAAGTTCCTGAGCTGACTTCTCTTCACGCTTCTGTAGTTTGAAATTAAGATTGGCAAGGAAATTTTAATCAAGAAATTGTTCAGCAAAACTAACATTCACTTCTCTTTCAGGGACAATAAATGCTCTGAATGCAGAGAAGTATCTAAACGTTATCACAAAGCTTTAAGTCTGGTATAAAATAAAACCAATTCCATGCTATGTGTTGTCATGGCTCTTCAGGGAAGACATTGTTTTAAGTGGTGAAATGACATAAAAGCTCCAATTTTTTTCTCTGAATCAGGAAAGAGCTTCTGAAACTTGAAGTTTTCTTTCATTAACACTTTAATAGTTATATAAACAGGGAACTGGAAAAGCATGGACACAATACCATCATGAACACAGCTTCCTCCTTAAGAACAGAAACAGAATTTAATGGGTACTGAGAGACCTCTCAATGTACTTTTAATTTACAGACCTAACCTCAACGACGCAATTCAAACATGAAATTCCTAAATTCTTAACCTCAAAAACCTAAACAGAATCATCAAAATTGCATTTTTAATATGGACCTCCTTCAGATTCATAGTTAAATCTGTTACTTAGGGTATCCTTTATCCCTCGTGTCAAAGGAAACATCACATTTAGGTTAAACTCACTGATTTTTCTTCCAGGTTGTCTAAGGTTTCAAACTGAATTTGAGGCAATACCGGTTCCTTTACTCCATCACTTTCCTTAATCCTGTAAAGTCTGTCCCATATTTCATATTCCTCAGGTGACAGAGACCAATTCTCATGACAGTGTATTTGCTTTTGGCCTATGGGGGGAAAAACAAAACCAGGAAACTGTTACTTAAAGAAGAAAGATGTACAGAATAAAAAGAACTTTGTATGATACCAGTGAAAAGAAAAAAATACCTTCTTTGTGTCACAAGCAAAACCAGACACAGAGAATCTGACGTCAGAAACAAGTATCAGAACAGTGTTGTATGTGTTATGGCTCAATCTATCTATTAAATGATGGTTTTGGGGGAAGGCATCATATAAACAGAGATATAGACAGATAGAAATAGAGAGATATACAAATATCAAATACTTATAGACCCTGAAGACAGTGTAGCAAACAGGGAAAGGATATGGCTTGAATTTCTCAGTGTGTGTCTCTAAGCCCCTGGGGAACAAACTACAAATAAGTAAAAGCTTCTCCCCTTTTAATTTATTTTATTTTTTAAGGTACTCCTTAAATACTGGAAAATAGCACTGATTTGTTATGACACAAATATTTGTTAGCCATTTTTTTAAATCAAACTCCTCTATTCAGGACATTCACACTAATAAGAGGGTAGAAACAAAACACTAAGAAAACTTCCCAGGAGCAGGGAAAGAAAAAGGAATCTCATGAGTTTTATTTAGACTCATAACTGCCAGTGGGAAGTACAGGGCACCTGTGAGCACCAGCACTAGATAAAAACCAAACAGGTGCTATATGGCAGCTTACTGAAGAGAAGGTCCTGGTGCTGCTTGGCTCTGAGTGAGAACACTCCAGTGACAAAGAGGAAACGGAGTCATTTTTGGCAGTGTGACAGCAAACCTCAGTGCCACCCCTAAAAAAATGCCAAACCCCTCAAAACAGCCACCAGCATGAATAGCAAAGGAACATCCAAAGAATCGCTGATAAGAATGTGTTTGCTTTCAGCTCAGACGTATGAAGCTTGGAGAAAAATAATTAAGTTAATTTGACAATCACTCTGCAGATTGCACTTGGGATGAATCTGCAGACAACACCCTATTCTGAACTAATGCCACATAAGAGGAATCAGCTTTTATCTCTCAATCCTCTCCAGTTACGATTGTCAGATTGTGTCTCCACAGGATGGTGTGACAATGTTTATTAGAGACTCAAAACCAGACCCCTGAGAGTTCAGAGTACTGGGTTCAAGTCCTGTTCAGAAAATGTCTTTCACACCTGGGAAAAAAACCTAGCCAACATTGAAGGTTTTTTAAAGCTATCATTAAAAAAACCCAGATGATCAATATTGCTACTAAAATATTTTTGAGTCAAGTCTAGGAGATATTACACTGCTTTATAGCTAACACACTGTTCAAGGACCCAGTAGAGGAGGAATAAAGAGAGATCCGAAGGAAAATTAAGAAAACGTATGAGAAAAGCATATCTCACAGCCTTTTGTGTTGTCTATAAGAACAGTTAAATATTAGGTCTGCTCTAGCAGTTAATATTCAGCACCCACACTCCAAAACAGAATATGTCAATCTTGGATTAGCGTGGAGCTCTGGACAAGCTAGAAAAGAAAGGCCAGAAAGAGTCATCAGTTGTAACCAAAACTTAACACGCTTGGTCAGTCCAAAGTTACTTCTATTGCCTCACTGAAGACTTCTCTTCATAACCAAGAAGCAAAAAGGTGGCCTGCCAAGGAACCTAGAATGTATTTTCAAACAGCAAGTTGTTAGACAGGAAAAAGCAGGCACCAGCAAAAAACTTGGTAGGCAAAAAGATCTACAATTTCAGACTTAAGGGTGAGCAAAAACAAAACAAAATTAAACCCCACCTTATATTTTCAGTGTTCACAAAATACAAATTCAAGATTCTGTTCTTAACAGAGGGGAAAAGAGCTGTCACAGAGAGTTCTGTAGAGCGTTCTGAGATAATAGTTTGCTAAGACACAGGCAAGCTGCCCAGGGAAATAGGCATCTATTTCCACTAATCAGGAGTGGCACTGAAATAAGGAGATGAGAAAATGTGAAAAATAAAGACCTTCCTTTCTCTTCTTTTTGAGCTTTATCTTGAGTATCATTAAAATCAGAAACAGCCCCTTGCTTCGCACACTAATGAAGAGGACTTGAGCGCATAAAGCTGGTGCTCAGTAATTTGCACTCATGTAACACTTGTTTGCAAGATGGGCAGGTCAATCCTGTTCATCTTCGGCGGCTGATAGACCTCCACACACACCAGGTACTCCCACTGCGGCAGCTGCTAACCTATTTCACACAAAAGGAACCTG